ATTTAAATATCTTTAAAACTATAGAAGCTGGAGAAGCAATAGTCAAATAAATATTGCAAAGTGAAAAAGGGAAGCATCTTATGGGGGTTAATGATTTGTTTTTTTCTAGATGGAATCGCTTTGCAATATTATTCAATAACCATTAACTTAATTATTTCTTTGAAATTTTATTAAAGTATTATCTTGCTAGATTATCACATTTAATCATACAAAACGATGAACGATGTTACTACAGACTCTACACCACGTAGCTGCTTAATATTAAGTCCCACATGACCTATTCCATGTCCCAGGGTTGTTAGTGTATTTTTTTTCCATTTAACCAGTGACCCAAATCCATCACAGAAATAATAACAACCCTGTTTATGAACAGAAAAACGCTAGCTAAACGTCCTTGCCACGTGTCAACAACCCTTTTCCGAATATGTTCGAAGGTACATTTAAAGATTTGTTCTTGATCTGCAATTTTAATTATTCAAGGGAAAATATTATTTTATGAGAAGTTGTTTATTAGTTTCTGAGAAATCGATGCCATTGAAAAGAACTTGAACAGAATTGACCCACGTTTATAGAACAAGAGTTAAAATAACTATGTTCTAAAATCGATGTAAGACATTGAAACATAAAGAGCTGAAACTGTGTATGCATAACTAGGTCAAGAGAATCGAGTAACTTAAACTTGCAATCCATTTGCATCGTCGATTTGTTTGTAACTTTTTAAAGACCACTGAGCTTTTAGAATTTTATACCATAAATACATGTACCTTTGTTCGAGTTTAAAAATTATATTTTCAAGAAAAAGAAAACAGTAGTACTTTAAATATTTAGTGAAAAATCATAAATATATTTAAAACTGTAGGTAGAAAATTATAATATATTCAATGAAATTAGTTTTTATAATTATGATATATTTATGATACAAGACATTGTGATCGTTAATTAGTAAAAATTCTTTGAATAAGACATACACTGGACACATGAATTATATCACTGCGAACGACAGTAAAAATAAATGTTTGCTGTCAGATACGAAGCATGTTCACATTGAAAGGTTTCCAGTATTTTCACAAGTGAATTTTTCTTTCGGATCTGCAAAAATAAAACAAACGTATCCTCGTTCGCTACCCCAATCACGCGATTATGTTTTTCCGTCGTTCCACGAATGCTGCTCCAATGGCAAAACAAACGAACGTTCATTAATTTGTCGTGGAATCGAAAGTTTTTCAAATAAACTACCCCACCGATAATCTTCTCTACCCTGGCTCTTAATCCCAAAAACAATTACACCCGGATCTAATGAGGTTTTCGACGTCCTTCAGATAAATTCAATTATTAACTCTCGTTTAATCGATAAGGGATGAAAGTTTCCCGAAAGTTTCGTGAGTTTTCTATGGTAAATATAACAAGATTAATGACTTTGTATCTGTTCATCCGTGAATAGTAGTATTAAACGAATAGATAGAACACACATTTTACTTTGCCATTCGTTACTTGAATTAAATTCGATGAATTTATTTTTGAAGAAAATATTTTGAAGTAGTAATAGAGGTAAATGAATTCCCTTCATTAAAGCTCTTCTTCCATTTTGAAGCCATCGTTTAAATTAATAAATACCCATCACTCTTATTCGGTCAAATTGTTCTGAACATAAGAATTAAAAGAAAAAAAAAGAGCTCCTTCCATGTGTCCATTGGAGAGTTTCCAACGTATCGGAAAGCATAGCGAGAGTAGTGGTCGCGCAGGGCGCGCGCGTTAGCGCTTCGAACGCTAGAGGGTTGGGGGTGAAGAGAAGCAGGGGGCCGCAGAATAAACTTAGACATGTTTGCCGAGCAATCAAATATATGAGCGGAAAGTCTCGCAGGCGTTATCGATTGGTTCGAACCGGCTGTGGCGGCATACAGGCGAAGAGGAAAGAGAGAACACCGAAACCGTGGGGGTTTTAGGTAGGGGTCGTGAAGGGGTCGACGGAGGGCTCGAGACGAAATGGGAACGGGAAGATCCACGAAACTAGTCTACATCGTCGTCGGTGGAGGGCCGAGCGGTTTGTCCAGTGTTTGTTGTTCGCCGTTGTTCGAGGGGGCAAACATAGTTTTCGAGCCGGCGAGAAGGAGCCGCTGGAACAGCCGAATAGATATACACATGGCATCTGTGCATACAGGGTGGTCCGCCACAAACCAAAAACCTTAATACCGTCTTTGATGGAAACTTAGGAAAATATATTTCGGTCCGAAGTTGCATTGTTTCACGGAAAATTCATTTTTTCTTTCAAATTCATTTTCTAAGTTCATCAAATATTTCTATTAATATAGAGTCATAATTCATAAGAAAAATAATTTAATGACATAAATATGTCATCATTTTTTTTATTGGTTTATTAATCAGGTGTAATTGTTAATCATATATGGTTGATCAGGTGATTCTAAATCTGGGAAAAAAATTCTATCTTTTATTTAAATTTAATTTTTGAGCTTGATGCAACTTTATAAGTCATCAACAGACAAATAAAATTATACTAAATTAAATATTTTATTATTGAATCGATTAGAGAATAAAAATCTGTAAGACACCTTGTATATCTACACGTTTTCTACTAACGATATACTTGTACGTATCTGTGTACACGTGAAAGGAAAAGAGTGTACACACACATGGATGAAAATTCACGTGTACGTATAGAGATACGCGAACTTTCAAGAAATTCGAGTCTTTTATTTCCACGCGATCTTACTCCCCGTCTGCTTCGAAGCAGTGGGGAAAAATCTCAAGAGCGCATCGCCTTCGAGAGCTCCGTCGGAGATTTCGCTTGCACAAGAACAAATAGCGGAACGGGCCAGAACAACCCTGGTAGCTCGGACAAATTCTTGCGATGTCGTTGAACGACAGGGGTTGAATCGCGAGAAAATCTTGTCCACGTACTTACACTTTGGATCGCTTTTACCTCCGATTTCGAACGTACTCGCTGAAATTCTTTCCTAAAATTCGTCGAGGTTTGTAGACGTAGTTAAAAATGTCAGGGATTCTTACCCCCAATAGAAACGAAACCTTCAATTAATCCTTTCATTGCAAAATTATTTAACAATTGCAGAAATAATTATTTTTTTTAAATTTGATCTATTTAGTTAATGAATTTTCCTTTCATCCCTACAATGTAAAACTACCCTTACTTTGGAATTTTGTTACATGGATAAGGAACAAATTAAAAATTTTTCTAATTACTATTTATGCAAGACTAGGAGAAATTATTGTATATTTTATTTCATAATTTAATATACGTAGCCATATGGGTGGAATAGAAATGTAAGGGTTGAACGAATAATTTTGTTAATTGGAGTGGTATTCCTTGTTCACCTTTTTTTTTCAAGTAATATTTCTGATTAAAGACAATGCATATTACTTGGAATTTAACGATGAAGCTAGAAATTGGGTTAGAAGTGGAGTAATATTTTAAAATGTCGCAGTACGCTCAAATTAGACAGAGTTTGTCTTTCATTTGTTGCCAGTGTAAAGAAACCTTGGGTCACGGCGGACGATCAATCTGCACTGGAGACAAATTGATCAAAGTCGAGGTTAAAGTATAATTTTATTAACCCACCAGTCTCGATCCAGGGTAGATGTATTTTGTAACCACTTCCATGATGAAACTTGAATCGTACAATATTGATTATAGTAGTTATAATTCAACAATTTATTTATTAGGAAGTCATACAATACTTTTATAACGAGTTAAAATAGCTTTCAGAAATCATATGATATTTTCAGTAGTATAACCACATATAATATCAGACAAACAGTAATATTGAATGAGCAATAGAATAATATGGAATAAATCAAAGTTTTTCGTGTCTTCTCAAAAAATCGAAATTAAAAAGGTATCAATTTTTCATAAAATTAAACTTTTATAACTTTTGCAATAATAAAATAAATTAGAGAATGTGTCAGGGTCTTTGCAACTTAAAAAATCGAAATATCGACCATGAATCTAATATTGTCTCTCTGGTGTCACTCGGACAACGATTTCACATTGAAAGGCAGACGTCGAAGCGAAGGGCTGCCAAGAGTTCTAAAAAAAAAGGAGAAAAAAATCCTGGAACAAGGATAGACCCGAACGTTATCTCGTCATACTCGAGCAGGTATGGAGATGAGTGCCCTCTTTTCGCCCTAATTCCTTTCAATCCTGCCCCAGACTATCTCGACCAACGTAATCGAACCTCATTTATATTTCTGAACGTGCTCAGTCCCTGAGAATCTGAAAACGTTTAATAACTCTGATGAATGTTAATGTTTCACGGGTCATTTTTATCTTCACCTTCAGACAGTGACAAAACCATTAAATTTATGATCAATTCGTGTTTGCTATTAACATTCCATTTAAACTTCGTTCATTATGGATCACTTCTTTTTTCATAAAAAATATAACAAATAGAACAACATTCTACGAATAATTAAATTAGTTTCAAAGTGTCGTGATAAAATAGCGAAAGACTGTTTAGCAAACGATTCTGAATAAGTGCGATTTTTCAGGATCGTTTGTCGGCCATGATACCTATCGTTATTCCTCGAAACCGGAAGTGGTGTCCCGGATTACGGAGCGTTTCTCCGTTCGTGGTAAACATCTTTTATTAAGTGCACGTTGCGCTCCGTTGGCGCGTCAATTTTTCAAAGCACCCTCGAGTTCTTTGTCTTCGCGTCTCCATCTAACTATAACGATAAGCGCACGTGGCAGGGAGGTAGGGGGGCGATTAATCGTTCCATCATCGTTGGGGATGGTCTCGACTCTGCGACAATGGCGGAAAGGGAACTCCTTTTACCATCTCTCCCTCTGCGTGTCCTTCTCCAAGATAAAACGATTCACGCTTCTTCTCGAGCATCGAATCATTCATGCTACATTTTTAAGTATTTATACAAACTAAGAAAAAGAAAATGTCAAATATCTTTCTATCTCGCTCGTTATATTTAATAAATAAATACCATTACTAACGAAATATTTCTTTTTGTTTCAGGTTGTGCATTCGTAAAACTTTCGTCACATCAAGAAGCGCTAGCGGCGATTAATTCTTTACACGGTAGCCAAACTATGCCGGTGAGTACTATTTCAATCTACACAAAGTGCAACATATATTCTATTAATTTATAGAAAAATAGATCAATAATAAGAAATTCGTTGCACCGTGAACTGCGATTAAAAATGAATGACAAGACAAGAGGGTTAAACGACGTAACGTAAACAGCCCTGTGTCTCCATCAGGGACGAAGTTGAGGGAACGAAGGAAACGGGAATAAATGCGCATAGAATTAAGACGGTAAATGGAGTTGAGAATAATATAAACGGGCGGGAGCGCGTTGCAGATTCATGGATGGCCATTCTACGGAGCGGGTAAAGCGGTACAGGGTGGACAGCCGTAGTAATGACTGTCGTGCCTGCAAACAGCCCTTGCCTGCAATCTAATGACTGACCAAACAGAAATCTGCATAACACTTGGCGAAGTGTGGCTCGCCTCCTTCTCCGACGTTGAATCTCCCTCGGACCCCTTCCGTCAAACCGCCAAACTTTCTCGGCTTTCGGGTACGACCAGGAATTCCCAGTTGTAATTGAATTGTCAGCGAGTTTCGTCCGGGATTCCACCTGCTGATTGGGGAAAGTTCGGAAAGCCGCTTGCCGAACTTGACCATACAGCATTCCTCATCCTAAACCGTACTTCCCTCTGTCGTTAGCGTCCCGCGCAGTCGTTCATTGACGTTTATCGACATATCGAAGTTCGGGACACTTGTTTATTAGCATTACGGTTAATGGTGCCGGCTTGACGGCTAACGATGAAACATCGGTTTAGTAGCTGCCGATGATCGATGAGAGGATACAGTGACAGAGCGAGAATTACGGAACATGTTTGATGGCAATTTAGCTCGTCCTCTTCCGACTTCCGCGTTCGATGCTGTTACTACTCCATCATGAATTCTCGCACGAAAGTTAGTCTTTCGTATTTTCTTCGTGTTTCCTGGTAAATCATTTGGGCATCTAGTTCAATTATTTTCTAAGTATCCACAGGGACACTTATTCTATAATCCTAATGCAATTAGTAAACGATAGGAATCTTTGTTAGTTCGTTGCAAAGCTTTAGAATTTCATCAAATGCAATAGGTATATTTTCATTTTCTACAATACAATTATTAAACGATAGGAATCTTTGATAGTTCGTCGCAAAGCTTTCGAATTTCATGAAATGCAATAGGTATATTTTCATTTTCTACAATACAATTATTAAACGATAGGAATCTTTGATAGTTCGTCGCAAAGCTTTCGAATTTCATGAAATGCAATAGGTATATTTTCATTTTCTACAATACAATTATTAAACGATAGGAATCTTTGATAGTTCGTCGCAAAGCTTTCAAATTTCATGAAATGCAATAGGTATATTTTCATTTTCTACGTTTATTTTATAAATCGATACATACGATGTATGTCCTTTCTATCTCCAGCGAAGAGAAACCATTTTCTAAAAGCATTAATCCTTTTCGAAATCCCACTTAGCTTTCCAATACCGCTTTAACAAACTCAGCGTATCAAAAATTGTGTACAGAATACAAAGGATATAAAATTGAAGGACTTCATAGCCGTGCGTACGGTACGATTCGTTTTACGGTGATTACAAAGAAACGAGTGCATGGAAGTACGAGGAACGTTGAAAGTCCATATACACCCGATATTTTCCGGCGTATCCGGCAATTGTTTCGACGTCCATCGGTACAAGGGAAAAATACGAAAAAAAAAAGAAAGAGAAAGAGAAGAGTAGAGAGAACATCGTGTGTGTTTTCCAATATCAACGAGGGATTTCCGTTCCGTGCGACGCGTGCGTGAAATCAGCGGGTTGGTGTTGAAGGGTTAGGGCGGGGACAGATGCGAGGCTGTTACGTGAATATTACTCGTTACAACGCTCTAATCTAATAGCGAAATACAGGGAGAAATTGTGGGACACGGAAGGGGGGGAACTTTAGGATCGTGCCAGGGACTATTTGCCCTTAAAAGAGAAACTGACATGCCGTTGAACGTAATATGCAGATCGCTTAATTATCACAGCGAATTATGCAAATCTTGACACGAACGTTACGAGATTTCATCGCGTAACCATCGAGCGATTCGGGGCCGCGAAAACGGAGGACGAGTCACGCAGTTTGCCGTTTCATTACGACCATTCTAGATTTATTAGCCTCCCAGAAACGTTCATAGTAATTGACGAAACGTTACGTCGGCTAAACTTGTAAAACTCAAATCATGCGTGCTCTGATTCTAAAGCTTTAACCCCGTTTATCAGAAAAGCTTCTCCTGTTAAATCCTTATATGTTCTTTTAAAAAAAATTTTAATTTATTGAATAGAGAATTATAATAAAATTAATTCTTCTTTTTTGTTGAATAAGAGATCCGAATATAGAAGTTTGTTGAAATCTCGTAACGTTAAAAGATATGGTATCACGCTTATTGCTCTGTGCAATTGAAGGCGACCTAAGAACATCCTATTTCCTGGAACCTTGAGAAAAGAATCTTTCGACGGAAGCGTTCCTTATAACACACAGCAAACGATATCGCAGCACCCTAAGGGTAATTCGATTTGACTGCGTTCACTCTAGTTTCTCTCGACATGCCACCATCTTCAATTTCTCCTTCTATTTTCTCTACGTTTCTCTACGTACACGGATAGGTATTTGCGTTTACACATTGACGCGCGAATATGAAATTGAGATATAGATTTGCGGGCTGGTATCATAATATCCATCGCGTTGCTATGAATAATATTCTGCACCTTTACTGTTCCCACAATCAATTAAATTTCTTTGACGTTCATTAACGTGTTCTGTTCATAATTATACAAACGATGGATTAAAGTAGCAATTGAATCCAGGAAATTCAATTTTGATTGTATTTAGTCGATTTCGAAACATGAAAAGTCTGATGTAATTTCATGACAGAAAAGTACTACAAAATGGCACTTATGGTATATCAATTTCAAGCTTAAAGTCTCGTGATAATGACTGTATAAATCCTTTATTAATATTCCTGGTACAAAATGGCAGGTTGCGGATTGCAACGAACAATAAATTAAAGCACGTTAATTTCAATCACTGCACGATTCTGAACTTGAATTTCCATTTCCATTTTTGCCTAATGATTTTTTATTATTACAATCGATCAGTAATTTAATTACAACTGATTTAAACAAAACAATCATATTTACAGAACAGGAAAATGTTTGTTAATCCTTCTGAGAAGAAAAAAGTGTAAGGCATATTTCCATTCATGTACACACCATGCACTCAGATTAAACCAATCAAATATTTTCCTATTTGATATCCACGCAAAACGTTCGTCAGAGAGTTTGCTTGCATAAGGGGTAGCCGATTAAGTGGTACGATGATACAGTATGTAGGTACTAGGGATGCTGGAGGATACACGGTAACTGGTAGCAAGACGAAAACGTTCGGCTCGAGGAAGGTCCTTGTGATAATTAAGGTCTGTTAAACCAGGAGATGCTCGTGTTGCGTTGGATCCTCGTAGATATGAGGGATCTGCGGGAGTATTCCAAGGACTCTCCAAATCGGAGGAGACGTTGCAACGGTAGACAGAAGGGAACGTAACGGAGGAAAATCTCGAGCTTCGTCCTTGTCAAAGTTCTCGATACAGGTCCTTCTGAAACGTACCTTAGAGATACTTTTCTCAAAGTCTCCGCTTTACGACGGATACGACAATAGCAAAACCGAAAAACTTGTCGAATACACGTTCCACTCTTGAAGATTCTCTTATTCAGGTAAATATCAGGCTTACCAATTTAGTTTCTTTAGAAATACTCGTGTGAAATGTGGAACGTCCTCTGAAAATATGAAAATCATAATATTCTAAATAATCCAAAATCAATGCTAAATAATAAAAAAAACATTCAAAAGTCGAATCGTAATATTGTCTACCTGCAAGAACAGTTTAGTTCTCTTTATTCTCCATTTGGAGTTTATTATCGTACCATTTGCGAAATTGCTACCTTGATGGTAGAACTTGAATTGCGAGCAACAGAGATGTTTGATATCGTGACTATCGCAAAGATCAGCGATAGAACACATAGAAACTTAACTGATGTTGTTAGTTTGAACGTGTGTATAAATCTTGTTAAGATAAGAATAGAAATTTTTGAATTTTAATTACTTTTACAAAAGCCTGGAATGAACAGAGTAAAGCAGTATTTTTTTGTATCATGGTATAAAAGAGAAATCTTTATTTATACTCTCATGTTAACGTCATATATCAAGGATTATAAGGTTTATTGTGTCGGATAGAGAGACAATATTTCTTCGTGTCGAGTGTTGCGGTTAATATCTCGCTGCGTCAATACCGTTGTTTTTCTTCGAACTGGAAACAAGCAGCCTCAAGTTCCAGAAATATTTTTCACTTCGGATTCAGCAACCGTGTAATGTGATTTACGTTGCTCGAATAGACGACGCATCCACCCCGTTGACTTTAACGCGTAACATTTCCACGGTATTCGTTCAACCTTAATGATAACATAAAAGTATCGATACCGTGATAATCAAATTGTTTAATAAATGATTATTTTCAGAAATTAATTAATTTCTTAATGTTTTAATTATCTTTGTATTTGAAAGGCTCCATATCAATATTGCCAGCAATTTGTTATAAGTTTCAAACTTATATTATTATTAAAAATTACATTAAAACGGTTCAGGAAAGGAGGAAGGATAAGTAGCGTTTGTTCAGGATCTGTTAATAGGATCATAAATAATGTTATCTACCAACCCCCAGGACCCCTATCTCGTAGAAACCAGTTAAGGTTAAAAAGTTTCCACCATTTTTCATATCCACAATTAACTCAAAATGTTGAACATATTTTTAATTTTTATTAAAACGCATACCATCTTCATATATAAAGAAATAGTCTTAATTAATTGAGTGCTATTGGTACAGATAAATAGTGTAGCCATAAATTAAAATTTTAAACCAAAATAATTGCCTCTTAAGAATACATAAAAATTGCACTAAAAAGATTACAAAAGTTCCCCACACCTCAAGATGGTTCAAAC